GAGAAAAACATTATACCCAAGTGTCTTTCTGGATCGCGATGGGAAGTTATTCAGCAATCTAAAATGTGGATAGATGTCTTGGTGAGCTTCTGTATATCAATTACAAAACACGTGAAGAAGCACCAAGAAGAACTTAAAGAATTCGATTTGTTATTTGGTGATTCACCCCCAGCTTGTCACGTGATCATCGCCGAGTTTCTCGCCCTTCCCCGAATTGATATCGAACCAGCCTTTCCAATGAGACTGAAACCCGAATTAAGTCTAGTGTCATATATTCCCAGCCTATTATCCTCAAATAGTGCTGAAATGAGCTTTATGGAACGACTTCAAAACTTATTTTTTTTTGGAGTCATGAAGAGATCAGAAATGTACTTTTCTACTCGTTACGGGGAGCTTAAAACAGAATTCAATATTATGCCAGAAAGACATTTCCAGGACTCCATTCATATGGCGGAGATGACCATTGTCATGGGCCACTTTGCACTGGAATATCCTCAACCACTTTTACCAGGTATTAACACACAATTAACAACTACTTCATATAATAAAATATGTGCAAGTAATGTAAGTCATCGATCTAGTGGAAACTAAGTAACGCAACCATCCTATGCTATTGCTTTTAATTCCCACGAAAAAATGGAGAAATATTGGACAAATTTGCAGGTTCAGTGGTTGACCAAGCTGCATGCGAATATTTCTCCAATATTTTCGGTATGTCTCCAATACGGTCCAAACAAGCAGTTCGACAAAGTATTTATTATCATAGTTCTTTTCAATCTACGGCTAAATTGATGAATTTCTGTTATGTATTCTCGGCAAACGCGCGCGAAGGGTAAGCAAATTTATTCACGTTTCGCATGTCGCTGATGTTAACATTTAACTGAGTAATTTCCTCGAAACATGAAGGTAAAAAGATTTCTACCTAACAAAAAAAACTGTTTATTTTCTGTAATGAATTGAAAAGCAGTTCGCCGAAATCAATTCGTGAGCGTCCATCTTAGCGGCCCGTATTGCAAAAATTGGAAACCAACCAGACTTCTCCTTTACTTTGCAGACCATTCAGCCATATATTTTTATTTATTATATGTAACACATCTACGGTTTGATATTTTTACCCATTCATGTCTCAAATCACAGACACTAAACTAGTGGGACCGTTAACAGTGAAACCCCCAAGGTCACTTCCACAAGACCTTCAGCAGTTTATCAGTGGAGCAGGAGACAAAGGGATAATACTGTTTTCATTAGGAACACTCGGGGATGAAGTGTTGCAGAAACACCAGGTGGACATGTTGGCCGAAGTTTTCGGAAGACTGGAGCAGAGAATAATATGGAGATTAAAAAGTAGGTCCTGTAAGAAATTTGCTCTAAAAACAATAAGAAGAAACTTCTTGAAAAATGACAAAGGGCTACGCAGTGCAATAGGGACTTTAAGATATGGTACGGCTAGGCTGTAGTACGGCTGCAGATGGTGAAGATCACTTCCGGTGACGTCATGACGCGCGTACCAGTACGGCTTTCCCACCGTAGCCTTGATTTCTACTACGGGAAAGTGCCTGGTTTCACGTACTCTTCACTACGTGAGTATAAGCCTGCTGTTTACTTCTCATTTTAACGCTTTTTGCACTGTTTGAACAGCCTAGTTTGAAGTAATAATTTTAGTAATTTTAATTCATCAATTAGCCTTGTGGCCGATTGTTGGGGTGGGATGGGTAGCGTGCACCACGTAAAACGTGATTCACCTACCTCAATTCTCTCATAACATCAGAGCTATTTGACGTATCGAATTTGGTTTAGCGTTGTCTGTACTCTTATCGACAACGATATGCGTCATCATAGTGGTCAAAATGTTGTGCACCCATGAGGCGCAGCCGAGTGAGACCACTAAAGCCTGCGTCATCAGGAAAGAATGTTTTGTAGCTCAGCGACGGCAAATGGCCATGAGTTGTGGTAAGAAAACAAATTTTCCGTGTAGCTCGGCGACCCTCAGATCTGTGGTCAGAAAATAAATTTTCCGATTTGTAGCTCAGCAAATTCGTGGTGGCCATAATTGGTTGTCAGAAAACAAACTTTCCATGTTGTATAACTCGCCAAAAGGCCGTGTTTTGTGGCCAGAAAGGTTAATTCACCTTTTTCATTTGTGAAAAAGAGATGAAAATTCGAACAATGTAAACAAACACAAAACATTTGACGACGCGCTACAAACGTTGGCGTGAAGGGGTGAAATTGTCAGGTTTGCAAATTCAACGTATTATTGAATTAAGAATTGAAAACAAACAAACAAACAAACAAACAAAATCAAATCAAAATCAATCAAAATCAAAAACACCAGAGTAAAATTTAAGAGTTGTCGTGAGAAACAGTTATTGTAAGTAATATTTGGACCTTGAATGAAAATACACACGTGAAACATACACACTCCTAATTAAGATTGTGTCGTATCGAGGTTTCTGCCCCTACCCTAGCTGACCACCAAGGTAAATACAAACCGGGAGTGAACCGAGCAGGGGTGACATTGTATGTGACTACTGTGTCAGAGCTAACTGTTGTATGTGAGATTGTCTCACTAGTTTTATTATGGAAATGTGCTGCGTTTGGTCAAGTGAATCTTCTTAGGAAATATTAAAACAGTTCTGTCATGAGGGTTTAAAGCCAACTTAAAATTTAGATCTTTTTTTTCTAATTGTTTTAAACTTATTTATCCAGTTCATACTTATTGTTGACAATCACCGTCACTGAAAAAGCCCGCGCGCCCCTCTTGTATACCGTAAATACTCGAATTAACGCCTCCTCCCAATAAGCACCCCCTTCGAATAAGCGCCCCTCCTATCTGCCACAATTTAAAATAAGCGAGTACTAAGATCGACAACTGAGGATGTATTGCACTGGTTGTGTTTCATCACAAGCAAGTGATTATCGACTCATCAAGCACTGCGCATTGACCGTCACAACGGATGGTAGTGAAGATCTCCTGATTCATTGCCTAATAAAGGCCGACCAACCTTGTGCAGTAGGCCTAAACCTGCTAAAGGGGTCGTATTACAAAAGTTCGTCAAGAAATACACGATTCTTCTGAGACTTCTAAGGAACTGACACATACAGGAGACCATGACCCTGGAAATACAAATATCAGAACAAACGATCAAATCTGACCACGTTTGGGAAAAATTAAGTAAGCGTCCCTCCATGCACGATTAAGCGCCTCCTTCGAATAAGCGCCCCTCGTCTTCTCCCAAATTTGAAATAAGCGCCCCGGGCGCTAATTCGAGGATTTACGGTAGTTTCCTAACTCCACGTAATAAATTCTTTTTCCATTGAAGGGCATATTCCAGAAGATCTTTCCTCGAACATCAAAGTTCTCCCATGGATTCCACAGAATGACTTATTAGCCCATAACAGCACCAGAGCCTTTATTTCACACACAGGTCACAACAGCTTATATGAAGCAGCTTTTTATGGTGTGCCACTGGTTTGTGTGCCAATTTACGGTGACCAACCTAGTAACTGCATCCAGGCTCAAACGGTTGGGATGGCAATTGGTGTCGATTTAAAGACGCTGACTGGTGATGAAATGTACCAGTCAATATGGCGAATCCTAGAGGAACCAAGGTAATTTTGATTCTTTGCTGTCACTGTTTAAGGAAACTGTTACATATCGATTGTCATATATTTCTCTTCATGAAACTAAAAATAGAATCAGTATATATCCTTTACGCGTACGCGATGAGCCATATTTCAATAAATGAGTTAGATACTGTGAAACTGTTGGAATGAAGAACGAATACGCAAAAATATTTAGCCACAATCTCGCTCACAAGGTGACAGATGATCATCGTTTATATGTATTTCAGGGATCGAAATTCCTAGTTTGATATTGTTTAGCTTTTTATCATCTTGTCATCATTCTGGAAGTTGCAAAAGGTTGTTAAGATTTTATGTTTATTAGTTTCAATTTAGCTTAAGTTTTAAGCAACGTTTCGATGGGAACAACGTCTCATAATGAAATGATACCTTTTGGGGTGAAAATAAATTTAGGTTTCGCCCGCAGACGGGTTTTGGTGCCTTTTAAGAGTCAAAATGGAACCCTTT